CATCCAAGTAAAAAAAAAAAAAAAATAGGATTGAGGAATTCTTCCTAGCATTTATCTTTCTTTTCTATATTTTAAATCTCTTAATCAGTTCCAGGCTTCTGCAGCTGACTTCCCCAACGTGACACTTTTTAGCTGTGATGCAACTTTGCAAAGTTCCCAGTCCCAATGCATCTGGAGGCCACCAGTTTTGTGGTTAGCTGAACTAGAGGCGAGGCCTTCAGTTTTTTTCTCAAGATGGCAATTCTATCACCTCTAAACAGTCTCTTGCTTACGCAGAATAATCCAGGGAATGCCGCTAAGGCTGGGGTTCCAAAAGCAGGCACACCAGAGGCGACACTCACATTTTCCAGAACATTGAAGAAAACAAACATTTGGTGCAATGTACAAAACATCAGCATTCCCTAATTTCTTCTGTATCTTTAATCCTTCCCTTCATTATCGAAAGAAAAAGTGGCATACAGTTAGTCCTCAACTTACAACAGTTCATTTAGTTAAGTGTTCAAAGTTACAACAGCACTGAAAAAAGTGACATATGACCAATCTTCATACTTATGAGCTTTGTGGCATCCCCATGATCACATGAAGAGCCGAGGTGGCGCAGCAGTTAGAGTGCAGTACTGCAGGCCACTTTAGCTGACTGTGTTCAGCAGGTCAGCGGTTCAAATCTCACCGGCTCAAGATTGACTTAGCCTTCCATCCTTCCGAGGTAGGTAAAATGAGGACCCAGATTGTTGGGGGCAATGTAAATATATATATACATTGCTTACTGGTGTACACCGCTTAGAGAGTGCTTGCACTTAAAGCGGTATATAAGTCTCATAAAATAAAATAAATAAAATAAATGATCAAAATTCAGATGCTTGGCAACTGAGTCGTATTTATGACAGTTCAAGTGTACTGGGGTCATGGGATCCTCTTTTGCAACCTCCTGACAAAGTCAATGAGGAAACCCGATTCACTTAATAAACTGTGTTACTAACTTAACAACTGCAGTGATTCACTTAACAACTGTGGCAAAAAAGGTCATAAAACAAAGCAAAACTCACTTAACAAATCTCTCCCTTAGCCACAGAAATTTTGGACTCAATTGTGGTCATAAGTCAAGGACTACCTGTACTTGGTTCTTATCTCATTTTCTTTTACAATTGTCTGAAGCCAGAAAGAAAAGGACCAGGTCAATGTCACCCAATGAGCCTGATGGCTGGGTGAAGATCTGAAGTCTCCAAGGATAATGGGCAGCACCAATCAATTTGCCAGCTTGGACAAGCCATTTTTTTTTTAAATGGTCAGATATAATGGAAGAGGGTTAGGAAAAGGCACACATCACAAGATTAGGCATCAAGTCCCACAAAAAGAACAATTTTAGCCTTGAGAGGACTGAGGCTCCTCAAGTACCTGAAAGCATGTTTCACAAAACCCTTTTCTCATCTCAAAGTGCAGGTTGTGAAATAACGGGTTCAAGTCTCAGCTTGATAGCCTCTAGATCACAATATCATGTCATGGCCCAACCAAGCACTTCCTCATGACTCCCACCCCTGCCAATTACTGGCCTTAAAGTCTGGAACTGTAAACCTGACAGGGGAAGAAAGCAGAACCCAGACCTCCCCAACTACCTAGCCAGTTTGACAAATTGGTATCTGGAGATGGCGGGAAGATGGGGAACAGGGCAAGAAGCCAAACTGCTTCAAGAAAATGAAGTACGCAATGGAAAATTTCACAGGAGCAAAATTAAAGGGGGTGGGGGTGAACATACAGAAGAGACAGCTGCCTCAGTGCCTTCTAATGAGAAACCCAGGGAAGAAAGATTTATTTTAAGCATAACTTTTCCTTGCCTCTGATGGGAACTTGGTGGAGGAATCCAAAACAAACTGCAATCCAATGAGCCAATACCTAAATACTCCTTAATAAATGTACACCCAATATAGACAATCATGTTTCTGGATCGCTTTGATAGATACTCAGTTCTAACCAGCTTAGTGCTAGTACTGATTGCTAAACCCACCCTGGCCAGGTGCAAAGGGAGAATATTCAGACTTGCAATCCATTTCAGTGCAGTGAAGGTCACAGATATAAAGACTGCTGTATAAATTTGGTGGTTACCAGCCTCGGTTGTCAAGGGAAAGAGAAGCAAGATAACTGTACCTCCTGCCACTGGAAATAAAGCCACCCTTTCCAGATATCCAACCAATCAGAACCCACTTGTATGATGAGCGTTCTTCAGTCCATCATCTACACTGGAGCAAGATCAAGACTTAGGGCAGCATTAAACACACTTGCGATCGCAAGCATTGTTGGCCAGAGTGGGATTGTGTTGCTCTCCCTCACTCAGGAAGATTGTATTTTACCATTCTCTTTGAAACAGCAATTGTAACTTGACCAAGGAACAAGAAAGAGAACCAACAGAAGATATGTAGCTCAGGGTTGAACTGTGGGGTTCTTGGTGCTCTCTGAGTTTGGTGGTTTTCTTGCAGAAAACCAAACTAAGTAACATCATCAGTACTAGACCTGACATCATTTAGCATCAATGATGTTACCTAATCTGATAATGAAACATCTGCAAGAAAACCACCAATCTCAGAGAGCACCAAGAAAGAGGACCTTGAGGAAAAGGAGGATTGTAGGAATTTGAAGTGTGGTCTGGATGATCGCAAACCATGTTCACAAAAAGAATGATTAGCCACTTTTGAATAGAACAACAGTTAATATTCTAAAGATACCTAGCTTACCATGAATAAAGTCAACATACAACAGCTGGATTCATTTATCATAGTAAAACATTTTCTTTGAGTTAGTGCATTGTGTGAAAACAACCGCACCCGTAGCAACGAAGTATGTATTTCATCAGTTGTAACTTTTTCAACGTGCCATGATTAAGGAAACACTGGCGTAAAACAACATGAAAATTCAGCATTCATTCATCCTTTAGTCCTCTTACTAGTGGTGAAACTCACCTAAAAGGAAAGACTTGCCATAATGTCCAAACTTGGATACACCAGTATTTAATTCTTTATAAGCTAGAGTTCAGACATTACAAAAAGCTTTCATTTCCATACTTTATATCAGCGGCCCCCAACCTTTTGGGCACCAGGGACTGGTTCTGTGGAGAGAGGTTTTTCCGTGGACAGGAGGGGGCATGGTTTCATGTGATGTCTGCATCCCGTGGAAGGGGCTTTGCTTATTTGTGCAGATCGGTTTCTGGCATGCCGTAGCTTGATATACTATGTAAATATGTCTCATAAAAGGAGACCAGCACACTTTGGCTTCAACTTTGCTACAGAAGACTAATACAGAAAGATTGGGGAAAACCTTGGGACAATAAAGTAACATGTGCTAATGTACAAGACTGATATCATAGGAAGTTGGACAAATAATATAATGAACTGGCAAAGCCTTAAAGGCCTCCAGTTTCTAATTCATGTTTTCTCGACTGACCTTTTTTCAGGACCTGCCAAACAGCATCTTCTTTAGCCATCATGAAAACAGCAAGTGCTGCAGGGAAAGGTAGAAACTCTTTTACTCAGAGTTTACTATACTATGGGAAGCCAATCCTACCGGATTATACAATCTGCACCAAGCCATAAGACATTTGGCTCAGCACACTCAACCTCTGAAATTACAAGTTGGCAGTTGGATGATTCCAATGTTCTGCAAACAGTGGTAGAAATTAAAGGCAGATCCTTTCCACTCTTTCAGGGTCTGTGTAGGAACACATTGAGAACCCTCCAATGCAGATCCTGAGATGGCATTGTTTGATCTTTCAAGGATGAAAGCAGAATGAATCACTTGTCCTTTCTGTGTGGAAAATGACTTCTAAAACCAAGAGGAAATGAGGAATTGCATTCCAAGAGGCTAGGATTCGTCTAAATCCCCAAACATCTCCAGCAATGGGATCACTACAGAGAGCCTGTTTGGGGTAGTGGTTAAGGGGCTGGCATGGCATGTTCACTGCCTTGAGTATAAAGTAATAAAGGCAGAATAAAAATCTAACAGAGAAACAGGCATGGAAAGATTTTTTTCTTCAAGTGCTAGAAGACATCAACCCAGAGTTCTCACTTGAGGCGCAAATGTCCAGGCTCAAATTATCCTACTTCAGGCACATTATGAACCAGCTCTCTGGAAAAGGTAATAATGATGGGAAAAATGGAAGGAGAGAGAAGATGACAGCCGCAAAGTGGACAGACTCAGTTATGGTCGTGATGTCACCAGGAGACTGGAAAGAATAGGCTAGAGATTGTCATGGAGAACATCTGTCTGTGATCGCTAGGAGTTGAAAAAGATGGAACATAATCACTGGAAGACAAGATACTAGGGTAGATATTAAATTAGACATAAAAGAATGACCCATTAGGTTGTCAAGTGATCAAGAAATGTTTTTGCCCATCACTTTTTGGTAAATCACTGTAGGCAACTATCTTGCGCCAAAATAACATTTTCTTCCAAACCGCTAAGGCAGAGGAACATGCCTTCATTTTCATTCTGCACGTGCAGCCTGCATACATTATTCATTAGCCAAGCTGGAGTTGCCATCACTTTGCAAAGTGGAGCAGCCGCCTGGCTAATAAAATTCCAATTGCCAACTGGGATGCCAAATATGTTGCAAGGATGGGGATGGCTTTTTAACTGCAGCAGCTCAGTGGAAGGAGGAACAGATTATTCCTCTAGATATGGTCACATAAAGACCACTACAGCCCGGGCTGGGAAATACCGCATTTTTGGAAAACGGGTTACAAAGCCCATAATCCACCCCAGAGCCGAGTCCAGAAATTAGCGATTCCCAGGGCACGAAGGAGCTTTGCAAACTCTCCTCACAGAGAGTTGACCCTGGCATGGAAGACGCCCCTGCTATTCCCCCCCCCCCCCGAGACAAAGACACTCTGTACAAGCTCAGAGAAACCCTTTCCTTGGGGCCCACTCCGCAGGCGTTTGCCCAGCCAGGACAAAATAAGAGAGCGGAGAAGCAGGAGGCGAACGGCGGGGCTCCCTCTGGCATTCGTGGCTACCTGGTGGAGAGCGCTGATGCCGTCCGCGTTGGTGCCGTTCACGGCGGCCGGGTCGGCCCGGAGCATCTCCCGCGCCGCTTCCAGCTCGGCGCCGGCGCAGCAGGCCAAGAACTCGGCGGCCGCGTCGAAACGGACCGCGCGCGGGCGTCCGCCGGAGCCCATCCCAGGCGCCGCGAGAGACAGCGCCTCATCCGCGGACGCCGGCAACCCAGCCGGAGCGGGTGAAGGCGCGGAATCTGCGGGAGGCGGGGTCGGGAGAAGAGTAGCAGCGGCGGCGGCCGCCTCGGCCTCGGCCCAGGCACGGAGTTGTTCCCGCCGCCGCGCTCGGGCGCCTTCTCCCTCGGAGAGGGAGAGCAGCGGCGCCGCCATTTTCTTCCTCTGCTGCAGCCGCCGCCGCCAGCCCGGCTGGGCGGCCCTCCCGGCCCAGCTCCTCGGTAGGCTGAAAAGCAGCCGGAGAGACGCCTCTCGGCTTCCGTATCCAGACGGGAAGGAAAGAAGGGGGAGCAAGATGAAGCCGGGGAGGGAGGAAAGAGCTTGTGGGGCATCACGGGAAATGGAGTCCTAGTTCCCCTATTTTCCTTTTTTCCTGCCCACGGTGTGACGGAAGTGACTACTCTTCGTTTTCCTATAACTTTAATCATAACTTTCTGTGAAAGCGGAACAAACGCCTTTTAAACTTTATTATTTATATACACGTCACATGCTTTTACAGCCCTTTCCTTTGGAACAGAATTCCCTCCTAAGAACTGTATCACCTTTGTTCATGATATCTATTTCCTATCTCTATGGAACTTTCTTTTTTCTTTTTTTTTAAAAAAGGATGTTTAATAGCCTGCCGGCTATTGTTATTCTTCTCTCGCGCAAATGCTCCTGGGAGATAAAGTCCATAAGAAGTGAGAAAAGTTTCAATAGTAACTTTATAAAAACGCTCTAATTCCGGCGGGAGATTCTGACCCAATTTTCTACCGAGTCGTTTACAATTTCCACAGTTGTTTAGAATGGCTTTTATAGGATTTACGAAGTTAGCATGGAAAATCCTTCTAAAGGTTCTCCGAAGAGGGGGCGGAGTTGAATGTCTCTATGGGCCCTCGCTCTGAAGGGTGATGTCATCGAATACCCATAGAACTGGAAAAAGTATAGCATCAAGGTGCTTTTTATTGTCTATGGTTGGTCCCTCTAAGCGGGCAGTCTAACTACAGGTATTCCTCAACTTACGACCACAACTGAGCCCAAAATTTATATTGCTAAGTGACAAATTTATTAAGAGAGTTCTGCCTCTTTTTACAACTTTGCTTGTCACAGTTGTTAAGTAAATCAGTGCAGTCATTAAATTCGTAACACAGTTGTTAAGTAAATCTGGTTTCCCCATTGACATTGCTTGTCAGAAGGCTGCAATAGAGGACTACATGACCCCTGGGACACTGCAACCGTCATAAATGTGAGTCAATTGTCAAGCATCTGAATGTAAATTACCTGACCATGGAGATGCTGCAACAGTTATAAATGTGAAAAATGGTCATAAGCCACTTTTTCCAGTGCCATTGTAACTTCGAAAAGTCACTAAGTGAATTGTTGTAAGTTGAAGACTACTTGTATATTGTTTATTTACACTATATAAATACAATAGTATAATAGTATATTATTTATACTATAAATTTTTATAAAGATACCAAGGGAAATGAGCAGTGTGAACCTAGTATTTCTGGGCTGCTCATTTTAAACCATTGGGGACCTCAAAGAGAGGTTTCTTTTCTGTTCAGTATCTCTTTGTCCTACTCTAATTTCCAGATTTTGGGAGTTCCGGATTACTTAGTTATTTCCTAAATTTTAAATAATCTCTGTTCTTCTTCCATATTTATGCAGTTCCTAGTCTGTTTTCCTTAGCTTTTTCCTTTTTTTCCCCATATACACAAATATGCCCACACACATAGATAAAACCTCTTTTGTATGAAGCCTAAGACAATTACTTTTAATTTATATAAGCTACCCAGAAATCCCAAGCAAGAAAGACAGAGTGATTCTGACCCACTTGAGCCTACACAGTGGCTATGTGGCAGTAAAGCACCAGTACTAACACTTTCCCCCTGATATTGCTTCCATGGATGGTCATGCAATAGCACCATTTAAGACAGCGCTTCTCAATCTTGGAAACTTTAAGATGTATGGACTTCAACTTAGTGCTCCAGCCAGCTGGATGGGTCTGTCAAGAGTGAAAATCATGCTAACTTCATAAACCCTATAATCTTGGACTTTTATCTGGATACTTGGGCATACTGGGAGTTGAAATCCATGCATCTTAAAGTTGCAAAGGTTGAAAAACACTGATCCAGGATGACTCTCCACATTGGAAAGAAATGGGCAAGAAGACTTCCCAGAAGACTCTTGGGACCTTTTCATCCAACCTTTTGCTAATAAAGTCAATTACAAATTGCCCAAGTCTTGACTCTTTGTGGGCCAGTTCTGAAGCAAAAATTGTAAAGAGTCTTGTGCTGTTACCTGGGACTCCTCTCTATCCATGGATTGAATCAAGTGAATAAGGGACCTTTTACGTAAGTTCTGCCAGTTATGATCCATATCATGACCCTCCTCACTTTTTTAAGGGATTGATAAACTGGATCTGAAAGGTGATACTTGCCTTGTTACAAGAGAGAATGATACCAGCAACCTTGAAAGTGGAATTCCATAGATCAGGACTTTTCAACCTTTTCACCGACTGTACCATTTTTAGGATATGGCAATATTCGAGTACCACCTAGCAAGGTGTCAAAAACTTGATGACCCAAAAAAAAAAAAACCTGTTCAAAGTTGCAATTGCACTGAAATGACTTATGACCATTTTTCACACTTACGACCATTGCAGAATGCCCAGGGTCATGTGATTTATATTTGGTTGCTTGGCAACTGATTCATATTTATGATGGCCACAGTGTCCCAAGGTCATGTGATCCCCTTTTGCAACCTTTTGACAAGCAAAGTCAGTGGCAAGGCTGCTGGTGGCCAAGTGCTCTCTCCCTTCTTCCCTGCCTTCCTCTTTCTCATGCCCACCTCCTTCTGAAGGAAGAATTTGACCCCCCCCATTTTCCCTCTTCCATATATTCATCAAACAAGGAAAAGCCTCCAGAGACAGAAAAGACAAGCTGCTGAATGAACTACCTTAAAAAGGCACATTCCCCTTTAAGAATTAGCTACTGGCTAGAAAGGAAAGTTGAGCATAGCGGGCACTTAAGGAGGAAAAAAATATATAGTAAGTACTGACTGCCGGCTAAGGCAGTCTCTTCAAATGGCTCCATTCATAAGTAAAGGAACGCTACAGGCAAAATCCATTTAGGAGAAAAATACTTCAAAATCCCTTGCAGCAAAACTTACAGCTAACAATAGCAGAGCAATAGAAGCTAACACGGGACATCAGCCATCAGCCAAATAGAAATTGCCAAACATTCCTTAAGAACACAACACCCACATTGCACAAATCCCAGAACTTCAAAGTCACAAAAGTACATAAGAATCCTTCCACTCTCCATCTCCCTCCCTCCCTCCCTCCCCTGTGCCTCACCTCCAGCCATTGCTGCCTTTTTTCATTCCTCCTGGAGGGTGACCCCTCCCCACTGCATTTCTTGCCTGTTTGCTGCTGTCAGCACAGGTGGCTGCCACAACAGTTGTAGATTGGTTCATGGCCTGCCTGCTTCATCTCCTCCTTCTCCTTTCTCTTCGGTGCAGCTAGAGCTGACTCCACTTCCTCCCAAGGTTGCTTCTTTTTCTCTCTCTCCCTTCTCCAAACTGCCTCCTTTTATAGCCTCTCCTGTCTCCACCCCTCTCCTCCTTTCTCATGGGGAAGGGTGAGCCAGTAGTGAGCCTGGGGCCTTTGCAGCTCCAGAGGACCCTCTCACTGTAAGTCCTTGCCCGCACTATAGTGCCTCCCCCACTATACTTGGTTAGGCAGGGCTGTGTACCACCTGTCACTCATTAATGTACCACAAGTGGTATGTGTACCACCAGTTGAAAACCCCTGCCATAGATGGCATTGTAACATCAGGTACCACTTCACATCAGTATAAAAATGAAGGTGAAGGCAGGGTGTTTTTAACAGCCACATCTTCCCTTTCCCTGTTTTATTATTATTTCTTCTGGATTTTTAACTATTTGCTGGATGTATTTTCACATTCAAAAAAATTTATGCTATTTTGTAATCTCCTGTTTTCTGATAAGTATTATCTTAACATGGGTTTGGGAAACAAAGCAGAAGTAGGCAAGCTTTTGATAGCTCAGGCACTGTTTTTAATTTTGTGAGTGGAAAGGTGTCTAGAGATGGCAGAAGAATGGTTCCAAATAGATAATGCTGTATCATAGATATTGATTAATATTTGATTTTTGAGGGAGAGGGAGGCTAGAGGGGATCCTTCCTTCCTTCCTTCCTTCCTTCCTTCCTTCCTTCCTTCCTTCCTTCCTTCCTTCCTTCCTTCCTTTGCCATTTTTGTTGAGTTCCCCTCTGCTAGAAAACAGTGCCTCTGTCTTGGAGAGGGTATAATTGGAGTGTGATCCAGAGGCCTCAAATTGGAGCTTTGAGATCTCAGACAACTTTGAGATGATAAACTGTTCACTCCTGATATAAACAAAAGGGGAAAAAAACAAAAACCAAAATGTCTACTGCTGCTGTTGGAAATAGAACCTCTAGAGGCAGGGGTAGGCAACTTCGGCTCTTTTATGACTCATGGACTTCAACTCCCAGAATTCCTGAGTCTGGGATCGAAATCCATGAGTCATAAAAGAGCCGAGGTTGCCTACCCCTGCTCTAGACACTGTTTCTCAACTTTAAGTATGTTGGCTGGGGAATTCTGGGAGTTGACGTCCATGTATCTTGAATCTGCTGAGGTTGAGAAACACTGCTGTAAATGATACTGTATCTCCACCAGAAGTCAGAAGAGGATCAATTTCACAAAAAGATGTTGCTAAAGTTGGGCCGAAAAAAATGTGTGCAGGTAGGTCAATACACTTTCCCAGTTCCCATCACTTTACAACTTTAACCTCTCCCCCCTCCCCCTCCATTTCTTTAAACAATTAAAAAATTATTTGGTTCCATTTGTACCAATCATTGATATCAGAAAGAAATTGAATTACTGGAGAGATTTCATGAAGAAGAGAGGTTGATTTATTGTGTGGCTTGTGGCAGAAGACTGGTCAGAGACACACATGAAGAGTCAGGGAGTGGGACAGGAAAGCATTCAACTCAACACAAAACACAAGGAAAGAAAGGATGAGATGTAATCAGCAGCCACTTCTGTTGCCAGGGAGATTTTCAGATTGGGCTCCACATGCTGAGTTGATTCCCTTTTACTTCCAGCGACCACCAAGCCTGGTTTTTCCAGCACCCTTTTTGCTGTGGAGGAAAATACACACACGCACACATGCACACATGCACACGCACACACACACACACACACACACACACACATTACAGCGTGTGGTTATTAACAGCAAACATTTTTGCACAATATTCACACAAGAGATGTATAATTTTTGT